AGGGGTCACAAATAAAATGACATTTTATGCCCTAAAATAAGCAATTAAAGTAATTACATTTTAAAAGTGGTGGTTATTTAAAGGATATTGTAGTTATTTATTGCCATATAGATTTTATTTATTATTTATATAGATTGAATTTTATATAGATTTTATAGCAGTCTGGTTGACTTTTCTTTATTCAACTGATTGGTTGAAGGAGGGCATGAAAACCTTCTTTTAAATCAAAAAGAGGGCCGACAAAGAAAAGTCTGAGAACCTTGCTGTATTAATTAGACCTAAAGGAGTAAAACATGTTGATGAAAAAATAGCATATCAAATGCTGGAATTAATGAGTAATCATTTTAATTTAATTTTCCATTTAATACACTGGTCAGGTTTATCCTCATTATAGAAAAATCCTCCATACTGCAAAAAATGTAAATCTAAATAAGATTTTCTTTTTAAATAAGTGCATTTTTTCTTGAATTGAGCAGGTAAGTGAGACGCTTTGACAATGGAACAAGACAATTTACATTTAAAATAAGAAAAAACTATTTTCCTTTTTCAGGTTAATATCTACTGATCTTATTTTAAGAGTAAAAGTAATCATTCCATTGGCAAATCATTATTTACCTACTAAAATGAAGGGTAAATACATTTAATAATAATAATAATAATTAAAAAATTATTATTTCTAAATCATTTTGCAATGCAGTGCCAATAACTGTAAATACTGTTAAGAACAGTTACTTAAATAAATAATAAATCTTTTATTTTTTCCTCAATTTTCAGTAAAATCAAATATCCTGTCAGTTTTAGACTCAACAAAAGTCTGTACCTTAGTATAGAAACCCTTTTCAAATTCAGACTTCTTGCAAATTTTTACCCCATCTTGAAACCAGGGCCCTGATTTATTCTGCTTTCTTTATAATAAAAGAATACAGAGAAAAATTTTAATTTCTATGGGCATGTAAAGAGCTGCTGCAAGCTCCAGCTTCACTATGAGGCTGTCCTTGTGTGAATCCAGCTGAGAGGTGATATTTAAAGAGGATCGGGCAGAGATAAAATCCATCATTCTTTCCACGGTGGAGCAGCAGCACAATGAATCCATCCATCTTCTCAGTGAGAGTATCATGCCATGATCAGCTGTAGTGCTTCTGTTCACGCTGACTTTTTGACCCTTACTAATTGTGACGGAGATGGAAATGTTTATTGCAGCCAAGCATGGACCTCAGCGCCTGACCCCATCAAACCGGGGCTATTAATCAAACTCTCGTCTGTAATTTCTCTTTGCAGAGGTGTCCCGAAACGACTCCTGTCCTGATCTGCCTGAGATCCAGAACGGCTGGAAGACGACTTCACACGTTGCGTTGGTGCGGGGAGCCAGAATCACCTACCAGTGCGATCCTGGCTATGACCTGGTGGGGCGGGAGACCCTCACCTGTCAGCTGGACCTGTCCTGGAGCTTTCAGCCTCCCTTCTGTGAAAAAAGTCAGTTTTGCTCCATTGCATCATACTTTTTGAAGAATTTAGTTTCTAATTTGAACATTTTCCTGCTTAAAGCCCGAAAACTATCATGACTGATGACGTTATATACATGAAGATAAAAAGAATAAACAGTTTACAGAGAAACGTAATATGCAGCGTCCAAACACGTTGACTCTTTTAGAGTTATTACAACTGGAGTGAGATATACACTATGTAAAGAGGTCATTTTACACTAATTCACAGTGGGAACAAAATGCACTCAGATTAGTGTTGAATTTAAAGGTATAGTGGAGGATATTTTTGAAAAAACCAGCACTCTCCGTAAAAAAAAAACACACATGCACAACCCTGTACCTGCTCCAAAGAGGGAACGACTAATAAA